GCCGTAGGGAAGGTCTCATCTGCCCTTCTGCACACGGATGATAATGTGTTTGATGATAATGTCTATTTTACAGATCTCTCTCTGTCTGTCTGACTGTCTGTCTGTCTCTCTTTCTATCTTTCTCATTATCTGTCCCCCTCTCCTGGCCCTCTTTCTGTCAATCTCAATTTCCTCCCTCCCTCCTTCACCCCAACTCTCTATGCTCTTTAATATCCATCCATCTATCGACTCTGTTTCCTTCAAATGCCTTCAGTGCCCCCCCCCCCAAAAAAAAGATACACACGATCTCGCATTATCCATGTGTCGAATGTACTAACTGTTTTGAGTGGCATTTATAAATGAGCATCCCGGCAATGGGGGCGTTCAAGTTCAACGATACCTCTTTACCGTGTATCCAAAACAACGGCTTTTAAAAAGTCGTCAACCCATTGGATTTTCCCGGGCCGGTCAGATGTTTCACATGTGTCGCTTTTCTCTCCGTTTATTTGGAACAGAGCACCCGAGGCGTGAGGTGTCTAGGGTCAGCATGTCCTGATATGATTCCAAGGTCATCCATGCCGCATTCCGTTTGGACAAACTAACTAGCAAGTTTACGACGACCAACCAGAGAGCTGGCAGGCTTTCCGACTACATCTATTGTCTTCAGGGCTTTAGATATATTATTCTTCTGTGTATTTTGTCAACTGGCCTTTTCTATAGGAAATCTGAGGGCAAAACGGTTGGGGGCGACCGCTATGTTTGACCCCTCCCGTGATCCTGAGTGAATTTTCGACCTGCCTGTCGCATCATATTTGCGTTCGGTTTGTCGCTAAGGAAAAACAGTTTTCTGTATCTCAAAGACTTTTCTCTTTTCCTTCTACATACTGTATTCATCTCAGACTTAAAGTCACAAGACAGCGAGCTATTATGTGCCAGCGTTGTCCTGAAAAGACCCGTTACATCATAGTAGTCACCACTATGCAGTCAACACATACAGTCAGACCTTTTGAACTGCTGTCATTTAACACAGCTGGACTTGCAACAAAAGACCTCCAGCCGCCAAGGGCAGACCGTGATGTTGACCTTGCCGTTAGATTTTGTATTGCGGGGGCCTCGTGGGACCACCAGCGGTAGCCCAGGGCTGAAATATGACCGGAAGGGGACAGTCGGAACAGCCCTCACCTTTGTCACACCTGGCTTGACATGTCTGACCCCAGTAACTCCCTCACGTGAGGAGAGGGCAAAGGGATAAGGTATCATACCTGTGATGGCTATCGTCTGCAGGTATTGTTCATGGAGCCCTGTGTAACAAAGGGGGTGTTGAGGGATGACTGTCAGTCAAAGCTGGAAAGAGAGACCGGGAGACAGGATAGACGGATCTATTGTCTTTGACTACCCCTTTCAGCATCAGGACTATTTGGCGTCTTTAGAAATTGGATCACGACCGTAAAACGATGTGCAGTCGACAGATAGATTTTCATCTAGCCTCTACTAGGCGAAGCCGCTGGAAAGAGTAAATCGTCCGAAGACAGAGCGGCAAACTGTTCTCTTAAAGCAGACCGACTCCCCTGGAAGATCATCTGTCTCGTTAGCCAATTTCTACTCTTTTCAGTCGCTTCCCGAAGCCTGGTAGAGGCTAGAGGCAAGAGTTTCCCGCTCAGACCGCAGGGTCCAACACCCCTCTGACACGTGTATTAAACTTGGCGGCTTGCAGCAGGAGTGTCGGGGGTGTGGAGCGGGCCCGTCTGTCTCGTGCGGTGAAGTTTATGTCCTTCAGCCGTGCAGGCCTAGGAGGTGACGGGTAATGAAGGTTTACTTCTCACGCACTGTGAGGAGCCCTGGCTAGGTGCGTGACAAGTCGCCGGCTCTGTCGATCCACACCTTGGGCAAGTTAAAGGAACATGCGCCGCACTTTCTTGGAAGGAGTTTGGGTTATGCCCTGGGGTGCTACTGCTCAAACCACAATCAGCTTACATATCGGACAGAGATGACAGGGTACGCAAGTTGATAAGTGGTTAGCTGAACGTTAAACTTTTTTCTGAGACCCTTTTTGGAAATCTTAAGTTGTCTTTAGAATCCTTATGGGGAAGTTGTAGTTATCATTGGAATGTTAAAATTTTAAAATTTCAATATAATATCAGCTCTGCTCTAAAAACTCTCTTAAATGACCTGAGAAATATGGGAGCAGTTTCTGCCATACCGGGGGAAAGTTTATGTATTTGGGTCCAACCAAAACAAATGTTAGAACAGGCGCATCTTCCTACACCGTTGTTTCCTGTGCGTCCCAGATCAGGACATTTTGACAGCACACACAGACTTCCCTATAAACAGAACTCACATGACGCGGGAGTAATCTTGTGGTCAGACGACAGAATCACGAGACTGTCTCGTCAGTGTGCGGGGGTGCCCACCCTGAATGCCAAGGGCGTTGCTAGGGCGCTTGGGTCGATGTCGAGATTGTCTGTTAGTCTTTTAGTGGGGTGAAAATGTCGACCTATCGCAAAACTTACAATAGTATCATCAGGCGGTTAAAGATACAGGGGCAAGACCAAGCCCTTTTGGTGAGTTAGCCTATGCAGGACACAAGTTTGCCGCTCCACTGTTCTTAGCATGGACCAACTCCACTGGCATATCATCTGTCTATTTCAGACTATTTGTCAGTATTTGGCCAATTTCTACTCCTTCCAGCCGCTTCCCAAAGCTTGGTTGAAGCTAGTAGTGTGTAAGCCATACCTACCATAATATTCTAAGCAAAAAGAAGCTAAGCAGGAAAAATGACAAAAAAAACAACAACTTCTAGATAGATGCACCCCTAATAAATCATATGCATGATGCAACCCTTAAACTAAAACGGGAACCCAACACCCACACCCACCCCACCCCGCACGTGATGTAACAATACTACCTGCCAGGACCGTCAGGTGATCCTACGCCATAGCTGACACTGTAGACAAAACACTGAAAGGCACCGTGTGACCTCAGTGTTGGTGTTAGCTAACACTGATCTGCTTGCAGGGGAGGGGGGCACCTGTCGGTCAAGGACCAGGACACATAAACCCTTACAGCAACACATCAGTCATTAGCATTGTCAGTAGCCGCTTTGTCAATCCCAGATTTAAATTCGACCTTCAGTAGGGTTGGAGTGCCAAAGCAGCGCGTCTATGTACAAAGTGACCGAGTGATATACAATGTTATCAAGTGTGGGGAAGTGTTATGGTTAGGCATTCGTACAAAGACATTGCATGTCCGTGATTGTCCAAGGTTTCATGTCGTGTTATAAAGCGTCGGAAGGAAAATTCTGATAGACCAACTGCACATGCACAGTTTCTTCTTATTGCCTTAGTATACAATATTCTGTGAAAAAGCCAAGTATAGCATAGAGCTTGAGTATAGTTATCCTTGATGAGTATCATTGTACAAATACAGAAGTTTTACCTTTTGAATTTTTAAACTTCTAATTCCCTGTTATCTTCGAAGAGATGATACAGTAACGTTAAAACACTCAAAGAGTCACACTGTTATCTGTGCTTCGCATGGGATCAACAGACGAATTCCAAGTTTTTTTTTTCTTGTACAGTACCAAAGAAAATCAACAATGATCGTTCCGCATGACTTTTGTCACAGACTATTGTTAATTCGAGGATGTCAGTTTGGATTATACAAAACACAGATCAATGCGCGACATGGAGGTATGCGACGGTTCTGTTTGATGATAGACAAAATGCGCGTATAAAATGAACCTTGAATAAAATGATGAAATTACTTGTTCTGGCATTGGCACTACGACAAAGTCGTCGTTTGGACGAAAAAGCAGTCACGAAATCTAGTATACGAACTGTTCTTTTGCACCATGTCCTGAACCAAAACATTGGACATTCCTGGACCAGTGGGTCCTCTTCCTGGCCCAGCGCCCTCCAGACGCGGTCTGCATACAGAAACACCCGCGATGTTTTGTTAGACGGACCCGGCCCCTCTCACGCCCCTCACCCTCCCCTGCCCGGCCCAGGCCCCGCCACGGGGGACATGTGCGGCGCGAATCGTGAAGGATGGAGCAAGAAATCTCTTCTAACATCGGCGCTATTCAGGAGACGGTAATGCAGGCTGACGTTCTCAGTGGGACTAATAACATTACATAATCTGGTAACAGCCAAACAGCAATGTTCTGTTTCCCTGTCACAAATACTAATTTCGTGCCGCAAAAAAAAGAAATACTTCAACGCTATATTACTATAGTTCTGGTTGTATTTCGAAAAGCGATGAGACGAAAGATTTTATCTGTTTTCTTTGTTTAAATGGTTTGACTGGAAGTAGGTAAGGTGTAGTGTGTGGTCCATCAAAAAACTACCCCCTCCCCCAACGGGGGTAATCCGTTTTGCCGAGGGAAGGTGCGTTTTATAATCCAAGGAGATGCACCTTAAGTGTACTACTTCGTCTCTCCTAAGTACCTCACAGTGACCCATGCCATCTGTTTAACCTGTCAGACTATGCGTGTTGTGAGCACACACATTGTACCTGGCCATTTGACCACACCGTGTGTTTATGTTGTGAAACTAGAGAACACAGATGACATCACGGCCCTTTAATGACATCGTAACCTGGTCATCTCTGATTGACAGCTCGGTCACATGGTCGGGTCACCCGATAATTGCTGAGAGGGGACTCAAGTGTCATCGATCGGCAAATAGTTCAAAGTATTTACATTCAATGTACTTATTACACGCAACACAAGACAATGAGTCCAAATCGTCGGTCTTTTAGAACATTTGCGACATCATACATGGTCTTGATTATGGTTTTGTAATTCCACGGCAAGATTTTTTTCTCATATGATCTCCAGTCCCCCCTCTATCAAACCTAGAATGGTAGCTGTCCAAGGCGCAGATTTGACCACAAAGGAGACCCAAACTAAACAGACAGAGAGAACATAAGGGATTTACTCTCCAGTCGGTAGCGACTATCGCACAGTGTTCTACAACAACTCATGATCAGAAGACATCGCGTCTGCAGACATCAGATGAGACATGTTCATTCTCCCATTACTGTCGATCTTCTACATCGTCATAGCTCGAGCCAGAGGTAAGGTTCTTACATGTTTCAGTGACGTCGCGTAGCCCGACTGTACATGCCTGTACATACATGCCGGTACAGCGGAGTCACGTTGTACCGGCCGGCGCGGCTTTGAGTCCCTGTTGAGTGCGTCCAAGGGCGCCGCATGCTACCTCTCAGCAAGGTTTATCTGATAAGAGGAGATTTAAAACTTGTTTGCAAAGCGCTCTTGAAGATAAGGAAATAAGATTTAAGCGTGTACAATGGTGTGTAGCTGTAGCATTTCTCAGGCTACATTTGCGATGTTGTCAAAGCTAGGTTCGTACATGAGAGAGGTACATTACACATAAACATAGACGGAAATTTATGGATCCGACATCCGACAACAACTCTTTTTATGGCCTGTTTTTGGCTGCAACGTAGCTCGTACTCCACGTTGCAGTGACACTTGCAAGGTATATGGTTTTGTTGACATTCTGCATTGTGACGGTTCTTTTATTCACGCAGTGGTGTCGCATGTCGGTAGGACGTCACATAAGTCATAAGTATTCAACTGACTAGCTTTCAATGGTGTCTTGACGTTCTTACTCTTTCCCTTTAAGTCACAGACATATTCTTCTAGACTTCTCCGCCCATCTTTTCAACAAGTCTTCAGCTGCAGTTTTTTGTATTGAGTAGACGCTATCACCTGTCATCGTAGCTATAACCAACATGCTTACATATTGGACCCAAACAAAAGCATTTTAAACCAACAAACAAAAACTTTCCGAGGAGAACACTGTGAAAACAGGATATCACAGTTCGCGTGTCGGCCATTTTTGAAAGTGACAGGGATCGTCGGGTCCCTGAATATGTGGCGCAGACACTGTGTTGTGTGCACGGCAAACAAATCAACTGTGTCAAGCCGCTATGTGCTGATAGCGCGTCCGGTCAACTTGTACAATGACTGAGTGCATGAGCAAAGTCCCGTACAAGTGGTCTACATGGGCCCAGTCAGATACATAGTACGATCGTTGTATGATTGCAGTCTGAAGGCATTCTGAAATGAATAGGCATGCGTGTATCCTGCAAAATTCGGCTCTCTTCTTACAGCAAAGCCTAGCGCTGTCTTAAATCATCTTAAACCTGTCGAAGCCTGCTGAAAAATTCAAACGACATTAAAACCGTATGAAGACCTACGACACTGAATGTAACCGCGCCTTTATACAGAGCACTTACAAACGTACTCCCAACCCCCTCTCGTCTCAGTGCAACATTGGTCCTGCATGATAGCAATCGGGTATGAGTAATAGCGGTACTTCTAAATTCTCTTAGCCGGAAATATCTTGAAAATGATTGCAGCGTTGAATTTGTAACTACGTAGCTAACTGATATTTCAGCTCACCCCTGCCCCCATTTGGCAAAAAAGGAAAAGACGTCAGTGGATAAAAGCCGGCTGCTATATTTGTGACAACTGACGTAGGTAGACATCGCTTTGCAGACGATTTGATGCTGAAAGATATGTTTTAAAGATCTACAGTAAGTGACAGCATTGACTTCACTAGCATCAAATTTCTCTGCTGCATGTGCCTTGTACACCTTCATGCTGTACGGTGTGAAAAGGGCACGAGACGTACTCCAACAAAGTGCAGGGCATGTGAAGTTCTTTTTGACTAGGCACGCCTTTTAGGCATTTTTAATTTAGTATACCAGCCTAGAAAGACAGATAAAACAGAAGCCTTTATGAACCTTCAAGGCGTTTAAACATCTAAGAGACATCTAAGATAGTGTACTTGTTTCAGAATCAGTCTCCTCAGATGAGCAAAGACGAAGTTTAGGGCGAGGGTTTGTTTGAGACAGAACTTTTGCGTCCTCACGCGGGGTCAAATACCTGACAGTAGATATAAATTAACGGCCATTGTCCCCGTATCCTAGCGACGACTGAAAAAGTGGCCGAGGAAAATTACTGAATGGCCCGACGCCAGGCCTAATCTCCAAGCAGATGTCTGGTGCCGGCTTAGAAATGTTTGTATTTTGTCGGTATCAGGGTCGTTTTTTCATGATATTACGATTTAAAACTGTTTCCATTACAATCTAGTACACTGAAAGAACAATGTAATGCTTGTCATCCCTCAGTATCTATTGTTTCGGCATCAATGTCACTACGCTATATCTCCTTAGTCTCCAACAGACTCCTTTGCAGGCTGAATAAATAGTAGGCAAATGGAGCTTCTCTGGGCGGCCAATGATATTTTAGGCCAATTGCTACTATTTATTCAGACTGCAAAGGAGTCTGGTGGAGACTAGTGTCTTCTTTAGGTGTCTTACTTTCTTCTCTTACGTCTTCCAGGAGCCCGAGTATGTTACTGGGACCTGGGCTGCTTCACAGACGAGCCTCCGTACCCGGAGCGCCTGCCGCAGCCTCCCGAGGCGCTAAACGTGCAGTTCCTCCTGTACACCCGACACAACATGGACGACCCGCAGACTCTTACCGTCTGGGACGTGGAGGGGGCGGACAACTCACACTTCAATAGGTCAGTCTAGGGACATGCAGGGGTCTCCTCAGAATTGATTAGGGGAGAAGTGCTCTCTAACCGTGCGACAAAAATCAGCAAATTTTCATAAAACACTAAGACAAAACCCTAAATTTGAACATTTTGGGAAGAGGGGGAGAACCCTTGCTTCATTGCTTGGGGAGAGCCCTGACATTAAATCAGTGTAAAGATCATGCCCTACATCAGCGATTTTTATGACAAATATCGGGAAGGTTTTAGTTTCACCCGATTTGAAAGTCTACATATATACATGATACATATGCCCCAATCGACTGGTTTGAATTGTATAGGAAAAACTAGGTCAAACCGATGTGTATAAAAATTCGCTTCACGATTATAAAAAGTAGTGGAAGCGCAAATTCATGACAGTGGAGCGCTATAGAAGATTCTGGCTACTCCCATAGACTCCCAAGCCCTCAAACTATAATATCAACCACGGAATGTTTGTAAAATAGTGAAAATGGTCTACTCCTTCGGTAAGTACTAGTAGACATTACAAACGACCGGTCCTCTCATCACATGACAGCTATGACATCATGACAGTTTACTCTGCTGAGGTGAGGTGATCTTGGGAGGGTTTACTCTTTTCACGGCTGACTTCCCCTGAAATGTTTATCTGTCAAACCTCACAAAGCGCAATATGTAGTCATCCTGACAACCCGTACACGCCACGCATAGCCCCATGTCGTCTGCACCAATCGGAGATCGCCCTGACAAAAGCGCGGGAACACGTTATTTTGGGTTGTGCTAATATTTGGTGTATGTAGTGCCCCTCCTACCGCACGCCTATTAGAGTAGTACACTCTTGCCAACTTGGCGGTCAGCCGTGAAAGAACAAATTTACGGAAGAGGTCCTAGTACCCATGCTGTCACACTGCCAAGACCTCCAGTAAGCACCACGGGACGTTCCGACCTTGGCAGTCATAACTACTTAAAGATTTCCCTCGATGAAAGAATGTCTAAGATGAAGGGGTAGCTGAGAGAAAAGATTTAAGTGATCGTCAGGGGTTCACGTTGTCTATTATGCTTATCTTGGCAGAACCTCAAATCTGATAGGACAAGAAAGAAGGCTCCTGACACTAGTCATTGTGATTGTAGATCTAGACAAATATTCTCCGAAATAACAATGCATGTGTGTAAGGAAACAGTATGAATGACTGAAACAGTCGTTGATTGAGGATGAAGGCGTACACAAATTTGCCTATCGTCTACATCTCTCTGAGTCACTCTGGCTACAGCCGGGCATCGTATGTTGGGAACAATGCCAGAACCAGTACTCTGCCTTCTATATTATAGTCCATGAAAATAGCAACCGTTAAGAGAACATAACAAAAAACATGTACGCAGCATGGTAGTACATGTATATCCAATTTCATAGATCTATTATTACCTATTTCACAACAGTAAAGTGTAAACGTAACGTTACATACCCGAGTATACAAAGAACTGTCCATATGAGCGCCATCTAGCGGGTGCAATGGAGTTGTTCTACACATACTGAAAGTTTAGTGCAAGTTCCCGCCTGTAGGCTAATTGCAAGTACATGTAACACGAAAATAAAGGATGGACAGCAGGATGGGTAACAATATAGTATGTGACTACTCTAACTACTAATAGCTAAATTCATACTACTCACTGACGAATGCTCATTCCGACATTGACTCTATTTGTATAAGAACTGCGGACACCAAGGTCATCATACACGGCTTCATCGACGACACCGACGTCGGGTGGCTCATCAATATGAAGGACGCCATCTTGTACAGGGAAGATGTCAATGTCATCCTCGTGGACTGGGCGGGGGGTTCTCAGACCCTGGACTACACCCAGGCCGCGTCAGACACCCGAGTGGTGGGGTCGGAGGTGGCGAGATTCATCATTTTTATAAAGGTACGAAGTTTCCCATGATGCAGTTCATATAGCTGTCCGTCATTTTGGATGTTTTGGAGTTTGAAGGTCATACGAGTATTGATGATGTGATGAAGATATGACATAAAGACGATGATGTCCTTTTTGATTTTACTAAGGAAAAAGCTCATTGAGGACAAAAATATGCAACTTCTTATCTTTTTTCTATTCCACAGTATTTGAAAGACTATCCGGAAGAAAGATTTCATCTAATAGGACACAGTCTTGGGTCACATATAGCAGGGCAAGCGGGGAAGTTATGGAAAGGAATAGGTAGAATAACAGGTGAGATATTCTGATGTATGAAGTACTACAGACAGAAAGGCTGCTGAAAAATGATAAAGTAATCGCACATGTAAAGTGACAGTAATTTTGAAGAATGTAAATGAGAAATGAAGAGAGTTAATCTTTAGTACTGCATATTTTTCGGGGTATGCTAAAGCAATTATTACACATTGACTTGCTTCATTGTTGCAATAATTTGTCTTCTAAATCTGCCCCACCCTCCTCAGGGCTGGACCCCGCCTACCCGTTCTTCGAGGGTAAACCGCCGGAAGTTCGCCTCGATCCGACCGACGCCCTCTTCGTAGACGCCATCCATACTGACGGAGATGCCAACCACAAATTAGGTACAAAGCTGAGAGAACAAACTTACTCCTCCTTTACAACTTATAATCCTCTTCGTCTCCATTTACAAAATATAGAAACTATGTGAATAGAGCAACTAAAATTGCAGTAGTTCTGTGCAAAAGGCTATCTGTGCAAAAGGGATTTGAAAAACTTTTTATGGTACATCAATGTATCGATCTTGAATTCTAAACCGTAGCGCTGCGCTGATTGCGTCTTTGGCTGTGATCTGTATCAACATATTTATACCCGCACACAACGCTGTACACACGGCCCTGACAAACAAACGCGGTTCAGTGATACGGTCTAAGCTATCGTGTCACCTGCCAGACATCCTTTGTTTACGGCGGGGTGTACGTGCCAATGTGGACAGCCATAATGGTCGGGTCTAGCGTTAAGAGACATTTTCTTGTCCTTGGCACATTTTTCGAACGTTTCCTTCAAGAAGAGAGTGGAAAACTGCAGACCACACATGTACAGATACTAATCCTACTCTGAATCAAAGCCTTACAGGGCAGCTATTGACCTTTAGTGATATAGTACTACCTTGTTGATCGAAACATGAGTGTATGTCAACTTTTCTACATAAACAGTACCAATGCATTAACACTATGCCTCCCAGCTACGTTTTCCTGTGCAGATTATAAACAACTTTGATAAATGGCGGATAGTATTTCAACTGTTGAAAAGACTTAAATCTATGTGTCACAAACTGCCTTGACGTTTTTTTCTTGGCGCTTTAAATCCTTTTTGACAAATGTTTCAGCTGGTTTTGGCATGATGGATCCAGTCGGCCATCTTGATTTCTACCCTAACGGTGGAATGGACCAACCCGGATGCGGGGAGTCTCTGTTTGAGTACGTTAGGGACCAGGGTGTCTGGGGAGGTACGTGTTTCTCTTTCTTTTTTCTTTTCTTTTCTTTTTTTGTGTAGATTTTGCTTGAACACATACGTATCAAACATACAGCACGTAGTTAAAGAGAAAGAAAACCCTATGTCGCATGTAAAAACCAAGTCAAGACTGCAGAAACGCATCCCTTACAACCACCACTGCACACGGTCCAAACTCCTAGTACAATTTTAAAGATGTTTTGAATTTGTCCAATTAGATGCATGAAATCATCCATTCACTACGGAGGCTTGTAATAGATTCCATGTCCCACTATGAAGAATGCACTACAATAGCTTTGATTGTAATTCATAGAGTTACATCAATGTGTATACATACGCTTTGCCCTGTCCTTGGTGCTGAATATGAAAACCATAACATCTCTTCACAGATATTCTGCCAAAATTCACATTGAAGATTGTATGTTCATTGCAATAGATAAGCCGATAGCTTCAACCTTCTATGAGAATAGATACATAACTCCGGTGCTGTACACCTGTATAGATGAATGCTCACCGGTATAGATGAATTTTATCCACATTTTATCCCCAGGCGGAGAGACGTTTGTGGTCTGTAACCATCTCCGGGCGGTTATTCTCTTCATAGACTCCATCAACTCCGACTGTGCCTGGAAGGCCTACCCTTGTTCGGATTATCAGAGTTTCGTAGACGGTAAGTATGGATTCTGTGTGGTCTTATAGTTATGGTTACCGGAGGAAAACATGTTGCTTTTGCTCTGTTTCCTCTTCTTCCGTTTCAAACACTGACCTGGTCAATGACCTGAACCTGACCGTCTGTCACCATGGTAACTGGTGTTGGGTTACATAATGTTGCAATTATATAGAAGGAGGGATTTATACTCCCATCACCATATACATGAATTTGTTTTAGTAAGAATTAACAGAGCAGACCATATGCGAAGGTAAACACTATGCATTTGCCCTTTCTAGATGCATGGCATTTCTACTATAACCGCCACAGAACACAGTGATGATGATGGTTACTTACACAGTACTAAACCTAAGGATGTTTCTCTGAGATTTTCCTAACCCTTGCCAATACCGCTAGATGCCCAACTGCTTCTCGTTTTTACCAACAGTTAATCTCAAAAGTTTTAAGATACTACATTTAAACTTCATCAAATAGCTTAACGTAATGTAGGGTAATGTATTTTTATTACATATTACTAGTATCATGGTTGCAGGCTTGCATCTTTTCTCACTATGTGTTGTTTTGTGTTAGACATTGATGTTTGTCTTTTGAATAACAGGAAACTGCATGACATGCGGTGACGTGGGTTGTTACTCCATGGGTTACGATGCAGACAAGACTTACACACCCGGCAGCCCGGTCAACATTAAACTGTACATGACAACAGCAGACAGCTATCCTTTCTGTCGTAAGTCTACACAGACACAAACCCTAACTGCCATGTCTTTCATATATGTTTAATCATTCATACTTTGATCCACCGTTAACGTTAAAATTGTTGACAAAAATGTTGTACTTTGGACTTGAGCATTAAATGTCAAAGCATTGAAAACATGACGCAAATTATATGCTCTGCTTCTCATATATCCTTCTATACATATTTTGTTCTATTTTTGATAAAAACATTTCTGCCTATGTCGCATAGTAGACAATTACACTATATTTACGAGTATTGTTGATTGTAGCGTGGACTCGCCGTGGAGCATTCTTATTGGACGATATCTGCGCCAAATCTCGCGTTACGTCAATGCGTGATAACGCGAGACCTGAATGTAACCCAATGTACGACAGACGTCAGAGATGTAACCGAATACATCGCTACTTTGTTGTTGTACACGAGAATAACTGTGTAACCACAGGGCACAATGTTATAATAGATATCACGTATCTGCTAACTTAGCCTTGGGGTCACCCCTAATGTAAAAATAATTTGACCGTCTAGACGTTGAACTTAGGCCATGTTGATTTGATTATATGGATGACATCCGCGTGCGCATGAATTTTCGGCCGTTTCCAAAAAAAAAGTTTTCAACCATACTGTAAATCGTACAAAACGGTTGCAAAATGAGCAAAAATATACCGTAAGTTACAAAAAACCCAAACCAATGTCGTAGAATACAACTTTACAACTTATTTATTTGCTCATCATTTAACAAATGTACAACAACAGCAGGGGGAGCAGAAGCGCATCCCCCTGAATTAGGTACAATTTGTCACATTATTTGAAGCATTAAACAGCATTCACATAGAAGAAATAATACATATAAACAACCATATATACAAAGGACACATATCAAAATTATTTACAACATATATGCACAAAGTTGCTTTATCAGGCTAGTGTAGGTTCAAGGCAGGTTGTTAGCGATCTTCCTGTGGCAGACTGCCAAAATCAAACGGAAAAAGACGAAATTGTAAAGAAATGAACTTGAAGACTAGATTATTTGCCAAACCATATTCTGTGCCATTTGCTCAACCCTCATGACCACGTAGATTTCATAATTAAAAGAACTTTTTTTTTTTGCAGAACTTTTTTTTTTATTCGCACGCGCGCATCAGTTTTGGGGCTCCCGGAAGATGTCATCCATATAATCAAATCAACATGGCCTTATGTTAGCTTAGGCCAATGCCACCATGCGTCCTCTTGATATCTTTATGTTTACCGAAGGAAAGCATACTGTTTTTGCTCTGTTTCCTCTTCTTCTTCTCCAAACCAATAAGGTCAATGACCTGAACCAGACGTCTGTCACCATGGTAACTAGTGTTTGGCTACATCGTGTTGCACTTTTATAGTAGGAGGGATTTAGACTCTGGTCACCCTATACTAGTATATGAATGTGTTTGAGTAAGAATTAACAGAGCAGACCATATGCGAAGGTAAACATTATGCATCTGCTTTGGAAATGTTAAATACCTTTCTAGTTACACATGTATTTGGATGTAGAGACAGAATAAACATAAACATGGGGGTGTTTGATATAATTTTTGTACATAATTATTTGTTTTTTTTCAGACGAAGAGCTTCACCATGTCAAGTTGTCCCTAAGCAAACCTCCAGACTGCGAAGAGTACAAGGCGGAACAGTTGTATCTGCGCCTGCGCGGGGAAAATAAGTCGACTGAAAACACCCCGCTGTTAAAGTACGTCACACACATATCGTAACTATCAGGTTACAGCACTGTAGGTTCTTGGAAATGATCTCTCTGTGGCAGCTAATCTACAGACATTATTTTCTAATCTATTTTCTAATATTATTATCAAAATAAGAATGGATGTATGCATGAAGTTTCTAAACCCAGATGCATGTATTCAAGCATGTACGCAGAATTAGAATTATTAGGATCATAAACCAATTAATCATATCATTAAGATGAAAGTTTATCATTCCTTGGTCAATTTAGAACTCTCCTTTTCATCGATATCCTAAACTATATATGCACATTCAAAAAATCATAAAATGATCCTGCGGTCTTCCTCAGGACCATTGACCCACTCACTCCGTGACACGTGACCTGGTGTTTAAGTGACGTCAGCATTGGGTCAAAAACGCGTGTATTTGCTCGTTTGTAAAAAGATTGCTCTCCCTCACGTCGTTTGTATTAATGATCTTCTAGGGACCATCTTTCCGTCGAACACAAGCGAGACAGTTTCGAGTTCATCGTGGGGAGTCGGAAGGGCATCGGGTCCATCCGGGGCCTTGACCTCCGGTGGAAGCCGTACTCAGACAACATCCTGAGCAGTCTGGGCGTGTTCGCGGAGTGGCTGTTCGCCTCGGACCTGGGCACCTGCGTCAAGCTGGACAAGGTCAGGGTCAACACGGCGGGGGACGTCAACGGGACAAGGTGCCTATGTTTCTTTCAACATCTGTATCTGTATTTGCTGAGGTCACATTTCCAAACCGGGGCCCGGCCGGGCTGTTTCCAACAACGAAAAATTAACAATTCATATCAACAATATAACACTCATGTACTCATGATTAGTTTCTAACAGTTTTTGCGTTTTCCTCTCTTTTTTATCGTACTTTTCGTTCCTGAAACCTGCCCTGCCGGGCCCGGTTTGGAAATGTGACCTCAGCATACAAAACAAGTATAACCGCCCTTCGGCTTAACATACCAGCTTTTCAGGCACGCGGCGCGGCGGCAGCTGGCTACACCGAACCACCTGATACGCCTAACCTTTGAACATCTAACTCTAAACATTGTTTGAAACTATCTAGTGATGATGCCCCTACTGTACTTGGTGGCAAAGATATAAAAGTTACTTAGTCTTACGATGTAACTTGGCTTGCTCTGTGTTAACATCATCTCTTCATTGATCGTTGTAGTTAATACATGTATAAGCTACTTCATTTTAGAAAATTGCCGCTGGGGGCGTTGCGCGAATAGATTGACGACAACACCGCTTGTAAAGTATGTGTGTGCCTTGAAACATGAGTGGTTTTTGGAGCCAGTTCAAGTTGGCAGCTCCTCCAGAATGGCACGTCACCATGTTGTAAATATCCGCACAAACGCGACATTGTTTTGTTTCATTCCCTTTTGTTTTTGAATGCACTTCGATGTGATTTGTAGAAGATACTAGTAGTCCTTTCAAGCAACGCATGGTGTTCTCTTTTCGTTGATTTTCTGAAAATCTGTTTCCCACAGCACTGAGGTGGTCTGCACAAGGAAGGACCTGCAGCCTGACATTACTCAGACATTCCAGCGGGAAGAGGGCTGCCTGTGAGCAGTTTGGGGGAATCTTAGAGACCAAGTTGTACGGTTGAAGAGCTGTTGAGATAAAACAACTCCATGTATTTGGTGCTTATTTACAACTTAATAATGTAACGGTTGTAGGAACGACCAACACATTTATTCCTTTTCAGTTAACTCTGGAATCATGTTCGTATTGTATTCCAATTCAGTCACAAAGTGACAAACTGTAACATTTAGATAGATTGGTTGATTTTCCACCAATGATCGCGTGGATTGTTGAGTACATTATCCAGAGAGGTTAAAGGTTATATGGGCACAAAGCAGGATGGGTAATCAAGATGGAGAAAGATAATGTTGATGTTGAGAAAGATAGAGAGTGGCCAACATGTGAAAGACGGGAGAATGGAAGTAGGAGAACATTGTAAGACGAAAGGAAAAGACAGGACGAAAAAGCAGGTAGGAAGGACGAATGGAGGAGAAAAAGACAGGAAGAGAAGACAGGTAGGATGGACGAATGGATGAATACATAGAGGAAAACCAGAATGACTATGGTGTTATAGGGGCTTGGGTGAAGAGGTAAACAGACAGATTGTTTCAAAATTGGGAATGACCCCTCAGATTATGACGTAAGATCCGGAAGCAGGGAGCAAGAACAATGCAAGAAGTTGAAAGTATTTAATTCCAGCTAAGTGATGTCTTCTGATTACTGATAATTATCGATTACCAATGTGTCTTATAATTAGATGTAATTCCATAACACAGACTTGTAAAATAACAGCTGCGCCAACCCTCTAGAGCCGTAAAACACGTATGTACGTATTGATGATATTTGCTGGTATACAGCCACTTGATTTGTATATGAGCGACATCGTCAGAATTTAATGAATGGTTTATGACAGGTTTTCCTACCTGACATGATGGCCTTGTGGTTAGGGTTGTTGACTTATTATCTAAAGGTTGTGGGTTCGGATCCCTAGCGGGTTATATATTTGACTCAGGTGAAAATGAGTACCTCTCGGGTGGGGAGTAAATAGGTGGTCCAGTGCCACACCTCGAGCACGTTAAAGAACCCACCACACTTGTCGAAAGGGGAAGAGTCCTTTCTGATGTGAGTGGATCGGTCTTGTCTTATGCAGCTTAACATAACTACCTGTGTGTAACGCCTGAAGACAAGTTGTTCCTCTGAGGACCTTTTTTGTGAACGTATGTTGTGAAAGTTACATGTTGTTGACTTTGGTGATTACTACTTTACAGGAATGTACACTTGTGTTTAGAATTAATTAAGATACATTGGCGATAGGATTCCTTTTTATGGTGCTACAAACTACCTATTGTTTTTCTGCTTGTTCTAGTGTATATTATTAGTACATTATTAATGTCATTAGTAACAGGTGTCATCGGTGATACGTTTGTTGTTGTTGTTTGGACCTTGTGTTGATGATGCGGAGTTGGTGTTGTGTTGTCTTGTTTACCGTCTTGTGTCACCATTAAAAACAAACCTTGACCTTAATTCAGTGTCCTCTCTTGTGATGATTTTTTTCATCTATAAATGATGACCGAAGTTATGAAAGAAACTACATTCTATCACAGCCATGTTGTTTAGGGTATGTGGATGATATGACGCGAATGCGCCATTGTAGAATTGAAACTTCTTTCATTTCAACAACTCGTAATATTTAGAGTTATGTAGAGTAGGGCATTAGGTGTTTTCTTCAACTGTTGTGTTTGCTTTATACCATACACCTACATAGTATATTTCATCCGAGGCTAATTACATTATAAATGTAGCCCTTCTGTTATAACAGGTGCCGTTAGTCAATAACCACATGATGCAATAAAAACAATATTAAATTTAGATACATGTCAAAAATTCAGTCCATTCGTTTTGGTGGAAAGCAGCTGGAGCTGGAAAGCTTGAATTCTTTCTCTTTAATCATTTATTTATGACTAGTATAAGTTACAGTGTCTGACAAGCCAGTCATAATAGCGTATATTATATTTGAGGCTTATGTAAACATTCGTCACAGTGTTGTATACATCATGTAGAAGCCTTCAATGAATATAATTGGCACGGAGCCATTGTACTATTGCTCGTTTTATTAACATATAGATTATATTTACCTGTCTAGTTGTACTAACGCCATATTTGCTCTGAAACATTCTTTCATGATAAATATCATTTCTATTGGAAATTACACCATGAAGGAGTGGAAATAGTTTTCAGTAGAATCGGAGCAAACTAATGATATATGATTGCTCGTTAAGTATCCTGGTAGCTGGGGTATTTTCACTACATACATAAAACCGCGACCTTTGGTCGTTTGCGCATTGTTGAGACAAGGATGAACTTTAACCCTCATGAACACACGAACATTGCCGACTTCATCATGGCGGCTGCTAGAATAGTATAATAGCTCGCATTGTACGTACGCGAGTCTTTTGTGGCGGGGGATCACAAAATTATGTGGTTGATGGAGTGAAATGAATAATGAATGTTGTCGGCCATTTTGTGGCTCCGTATAACTATAACACTTGACGAGCGCCCGACCTCATGTTTGCACAAAGGCACTCCTGCCAAATGGAACACAAACACTCCACCCCAACCCTCCCCCTAGTCTGTCTGTTTTGTCCATTTTGTCATCAATTGGTCATGGCTAACTGGTATGTGCCAGGCTGTTATAAGTCTATTTGTAATTTTATCAAACGGATAATGTATGGCAATTATTGTAAACGTTGCTTGCGTTACGTTATATAACGAAATGGCAGAGTATGTGGCCTTACAGCAAAAATGTACATATAGCAATTTCTAGTGGCAAGTGTTTAGACAAAAAGCTAAGGCGCTCCGTACAGAGCACTTATCCGTTCCTTCAGGGAAGGTCCCTTGGTCTCTTCCGTCTCCCCTCCCCGCATGAGGATGACAGAGTTCCGTTTGGTGAGAGTGTTGTCGGGGCTGGGGGTGGGGGAGGCCGCCTGCTCACCTGGGGGTGGGGGGTCCTTCTGTGGGGGTGGGGGATCCGTCTTCGAGATGATGACGGGCAGCTGTGACTGTGGGGACGAGATGACAAGAGGGCTTACAGGGGACTTGGGTAGCGGGTACGAGATGACGAGCGGGCTTCGCGGGGATTCCGCCGTCTGAGCGGTGACGATGACCGGGGTTCTCGGCTCCGACTGAGGCGACGTCAGAACTACCGGGGTGGTCGGCTGGGAGGGAGGCCAGCTTCGGGCTGGATCAGACTTTGGAGAGGAGATGATGAGAGGGCTTCTCGCCGGCTCGGAGATGGGGGAAGAGATGATGAGCGGGCTGCGAGGTGAGGACTGAGGGGATGAGGGGACCTCCGGGCTGTGCGGCGGCTCGGTGGAAGGCGGGCGCGGAGGTGGATCAGACAGCGGGGAGGAGATGATGAGAGGAACGCGCGGTGGGTCCGACACAGGTGACGAGATGAAGACAGGAGTCCGGGGCGGTTCCGGCTGAGGTGACGACTGACCCGGCGTGTTTGGGGATGACCTTGCCTTCGGCGAGGAAACACTATCGTTACTCTGTTCCGCTTCAAACTGTGGGAACGACTCCTTTCTCAGTGGCTTGGGTCTCGGCGTCGTCGAAGCCTTCTCAGGCTCCGGGTTTTCTGCCGGTGGAGGCCAGACTCTCGAGCTGATCTTTCTAACTGGCCCTCCCGCTGGACTGACCGGGCCGTTCGACATGACAACGTGGGGCGGTCCTCCCGACGTCCGCCGTAGTCCGAGGGCGTTTCTCCCGCTACTCGCAGGAGCCTTGACCCCGAAAATATACTGGAGCTGATGTTCGGTGAAGACATCGTCCGCCCTGGTCAGCCTGGCAGCGTCCAGTCGTACAGCCATCGTTAGACTTAGAGATGAGTCTTACAGAACACTCTGACACACGTATGCTGCTGCCTTATTGATTCGCGTTCATTCAGTTTTCTCACAGCGATCCGCTACAGAGGCCAGTCTGTTGCCAAAGCACACACAATCCTCCCGAGCTATGTCTCATAAAAACACGGCTGGCTCGTCCACATAAAACGTCTCAGACTCCCTTCGACGACGGAATTTGCCACCTTGTACTCTCAACAAACACTGAAGTTCGTCTCGTAAGGTTTAAACGCCCCCGTTAGCGCCAAAACTAGCATAATCCGCCTGCCTGTTCGGACCATATGTCAGCGCCATGAATGGACGGCCGGTCACGCTCCCTTACCGCGAACTTTAGCACGCAGGACAACGCCCACCGCTCATGCACACACCGTTCATTTGTTGATATTTGATGATCGCTCATTAGAATGGCCGTCAAACATTAGTTACTATGGTGACGGTAAGACCTTGACCGGTAGAGCGGTATACCCGTCCAGCCACAGTACTGGACGGCATGGTCATCATCTCAGTATCTGAGGCATGTCAATACAGAAGCTGGGAATATACGAGTGGTTTTATATTGCATATAAGAGTCACCGCGTAATTGCACAATACAGCCACTTATAAACCACCTGTTGTGTTCGCTGTAGGGGACCGAGTCGTAGATATATACATGTATGTCGTTATTAATTCATGCCTTAGGTTATACTTGTATACCGTTAGCTTGACCTGAGCAATGATGATACAGACACATAGCATGGCCTCTTGGCTACCTAATTAATGACTAACCAAAATAAACTAACACAGTATGTGTCCCCGACACCACTTCTCCTGAACCTTAGCAGGTCTTTGCTGTCTGTCAGCAGCAGGTGTGGTGGTGTCCCCTGGCGACCATTACACGAACTTCAGGATGTTTTTTATTTGTTTCTTAGTACACAGACAGGTTTAGAGTACGGGGTTGGGTGATGTATTGTATCAAGTACATTGTATTACTAAAAACTACAGAACTAGACACTGTTAATTTATTGCACTTTAATTTATTACCATATTTTCTTATAAATATAATCCATAGCTTACGTGTAAATAATACTCTTGACTTTGGTTTCGTGAAGATTTTTACGTGCATTTTAAGACCCGTGTACCCGTGAGCCGATTTCATCGGACCTCACTTTGCAGTTGTACTTGGTCTATCCAGTGATGGGGCCGCCGCACCCCCCGGCAGTGACGGAAATGGTTTGACCCTCCGCCAAGCCGTTCGCACTGGTACAGAACGTGGTCCTGCACGGGAAAAATCGAGCGATTATGAATTACTTTATGTAAGTATAAAGCCATTTTCTATTACAAAGCCATTGGGTAAGCCGTTTTCATACAGTTTGAATTCATATATATGCTGCAAATTTGAGTAAGATATAAAACTTCATGAGAATGAGAGCTATCCCCCACCGAAAAAACCATGACCCTAGCACGTACAGAAAAAACATAGATGTCAAAACCGAAAATCCCACAGCAGTACCTGAAAAAGCCGCTAGGGTCCTTAAAATGAAATTTAATAACATCTTTGTTTTGCAGACACCTACCAACATACAAAATATAAAGATCGATTGCCAACGTCTCAAGTTGTCTATTCACACACAGCCAGGAAAACATAACGTTGTTGGCGAATGCAACCAATATTTGAATCGATATAAAGCCATTACTAACGTGCTGTATGTGCTGGATCCGGCGGTGTCCACCGTGATGCTGTCCAGCAGCAGAGTGGGGTTGTTGAACCACGTGAACGGGTTGTACCAGTCGTCATCCTCCTCCCACAGAACGTCCACACTCGTCACCGTACCCAGGTCAGCAGCCGTCCCCACCAGAAACACGTACGCCTCGCCTGGCTCGAAATCTTTGTCGTCCCTGGTGGACAAATTAAGTAATACTATCAGAGATAGCAGAAGGAGGAGACGCGGACCGAAGAACACCTGGTGTAGGACCTTCCTACGGAATCTGAAAAGAGCTAACATCCCATGGAACGTGACTAAGGGAGCGGTGACCCATAGACCTACACTAAAACTTTCTGATTAATGTGCCTATAGGCACAGGAGGACCTAGGGTATAAGGTACATGTGTGGTAAGGTTTAAGACGGGCTACATGTACAAATGCATCGCTACAATTTTTGCCTTCTATGTCTTGCGTCTTCCTAGCTATAGCTTCGATTCCTTACAAGTTTTTTCACATCTAGTTCTTTGTGGCAGTCTCTAGTACTCAGTGTGCTGCGGGTTTGTATATGGGCCTGGTATCTTAACACGGAACAACATTTTGCAGCAGACTTACTGTACGACCATGACCGGTGCAGAGGACCCTCCGGTGCCGTGCAGCGTGACGTACATCTCCTGCACCTCCCTGAAGTCTGCTCCCGGAGACATGCTCACCGTCACCCAGTGCTCCTTACGGTCTGCAGCACAAGGAAGCCCTGTTTCATTTCTAGTTTTCAAACTTCTTTAGAACTCTCCTGAGGGAAGTACATACATGCCCTTGAATCTTAAAACGTGCCCATTTGGTGGTTAAATGAACTTTCTGTGTCCGTCCATCTCAAATTGATCATATTCTACAGTAGCCTACTTCACAGGCTAAATAGTACTAGCACTTTCTAACCCTAAGACAAGTCTACTAGACGGCCTATATTTCTAGATAGTACAAGTATTTTCTAACTCAAAGAAAGATCTACTGGACGCTGTCAGCATCCTTTCCATTTTATATACTAGTACTTTCGTACCTGATTCAATTATTCCCTATCTATTGATTCCCTTTCAACTTACGGCAGTACGGAGACTCTCCCTCCGTAGTGAGGTACAACTTGACGTTTTGCGTCCCTGCCGACAGGGTGTTCTTGTCGGCGTCGTACCCCATCCTGTGGCAGCCCGCCGCGCTGCACGACAGACACCGGCCGGCCCGGAACTCCTCCCAGTCCGAGCACGGGTAGCCGAGCCACGGGCAGGCAGAGCTGATGGAGTCGATAAACAGCTTGTGGGCCCTCTTGTGGTTACAGGTGACGAAATACTTACCACCTGGAAAATTGAGAACATGAATGATGCTAAAGTTAGTTCCTTCCCGCATCAAGTGACGCATGGGGCGGCGCCCATCTCCGTTTCAGTTGTCCTGTGCCACACACAACAGCGCTATCACTACAGCAATGGGAAAGTCCCCAGGTAGTTAAATGATGAGCGAAACTTGAAGATGATCGCTTATCAACTCATTCCATATGATCGCTCAGCTTAAGCACGATGGTAAAATGTGACCAGAGACGAAGGTGGCAAAGAATGAAAGAAAGAATGGGAACAAAAAAATTAAAGTTATGAAGAAAGGGAGATGGGAGGGAACAAAAAGTTAAAGTTAGGAAGAAACGGAGATGGGAGGGAGAAAAAAAAATTAAAGAAAGGAAGAACGGAAACAATGGAAAGAAGAAAGAAAACTGTAAAGCAACAAAACAAGAGAAAGTCAGCTCACCGTCTATGAGTCCCTCCGATATGATGAAGTCCAGGATACTTTCCTCACACCCAGGCTGCTCTGTACCTCCGTTTGGGTAGAAGTCAAGATGACCGACAGGCTGGGACATACCAAATCCTGGAGGGATGGAAAGACATTGTTTTAGAAGAACTGGTTGCGCTTTCATCTTACAATTTATGACTCAGGATATTGGCATTGGTCCGCTTCCAATTCATTTATTTGAGTAGACGTGCGAGTACAAAATGGATAATATGGTAATGACCTACTGTGCTTTTGATAGAACGTTTCATGATATTAGAACGCAGATATATAAATGATTGACATATATATACCCAGTGTGAGAATACTGTCTCCGTCAGTGTGAATGGCATCCACAAACATGGCGTCCGACGGGTCCAGACGCGCATGCGTCGGCATGCCCTGAAAACCTGGCTCGGCCGCATCAAGGGCTGAATGTAGGGATAAAATACATCAAGATATGAAGTGTTTTAAAGCGTTTGTTTCAAAACAAAAGGGAAATGTTTTCACCTAGAGCTTTCGACCAGAAGTGTTGACGTCATACTCCAGAGAAGCCACGTGACAAATCTCAAGGAGTCAGTCTACTGAGGAAGACCAAAGTAAATGGCCGAAACCTATAGATGAGAACATTTACCTTTTGTGTTGGAACAAATGTTTTACCTTTAAACATGTAACTACGTGCGCGTACCAAGACAGATGACCTTTGATGAAAGATGTCATGAAGTGATAAAGTTTGTGTGAAATATTAAGAAACAGCGTACTTGACGCTTTGCTACTTTAGAATGAAGACTTTGGTTTATGGAGCTGTCGTACCAGTGATTCTGGCGGGTCTGGGCTGCAGTCTCTCCCCGGCGTACCCGCTGATGTGCGCCCCCAGACTGTGCCCGATCAGGTGGACGGACGACTCCGACAGGAACGTCAGTTGCTGAGGGGAACACATATAAGACATTTTAGAGAAAAGGCTAAGTGTTGTAAGCACAATTTTAAACAACAAATCATCAATATGAATTAGACGCATCACGAAAGATGGATGGGATTGTACACTGAGCTGCATATAGGTGGCACTTTGGATCAATGACAAACATATATCACCAAAACTATACGTTTATGGAACTCTACCCGGTCGGTCGGCCAACCTCCCTAGGCGGCGTAGTGCTTTTGGCCACCGAAGGGAACCGGCTAACGACCCAATTCTAGCCTGTCTGCCAGGGTATATGGAACCCCTTTTTTGCTGGCATTGAATCGTGGAGTACACTGCGTTTCCATTAAACCATCACGGAAAGGTATTAGTGCTTAGTCATGCCTCCTGTGTCCCTCAGTCCTTACCATGAGGTACGTGATAAGCCTGGCGACCTGCGCCCCCACCAGGCGCGTGTTCGCCGCCACCTGGATGTAGTTGATGCTGTTGGCGCCGCCGCCCCAGTCCACCACGATCACGTTCACGTCCTCTCGCGCCAGGATGGCCTCCCGGGCAAGGATGAGCCACTCCTCCGTCCGGTCGTCCATGTAGCCGTGCACAAGGAATTTTGTCTTCTTCGAGCTACAGAAGGCAGAAAAGTTCAAAATTGGAGACTAGAGATGACAAAGTCAACTGCCAAGGAGGTTATGTTCTTACTCAAGAAAATAGTTATTGTACTGACGCATCTGGATAGATATTAAATACTGTCAATTTTGTTAATGTTTGTTTATTAGATTGAAAAATTGTAACGCTTTAAATTCTGAATGGACAGTTGTGTTTTTTTTTTGTCGACTACTAGTTGAAAAGTAGTCCTAACCATGCCCACGTCCCTCCTCCATTTATAAACGGTTCTTCCCCCTCCCACTCTACTACTTCCTACCTGTCGAAGTAGGAGTTGAGGACACTGCCGGTGTCGTCGTACATGATGCCCTGCTCGGTGGCGGGGTTGGCGCGGGTGTACAGCAGGAACTGCGTGTTGATCTCGGCAGGAGACTGCGGCAGGGCGTCAGGGTAGTCCCCTCCGCGGGAGAAACAGCCCAGCCCGGCATAACACACCTGCTGGGCTGAGGGAGAAATACAGGTGTGATCTCTATCCCATGATCTCTATAGACAATTGAATTTCCCTTCAGTTCTTTGGTTACGTACGTATACCTTCTCAATATATATATAACGTTATATATATTGTTTATATATTCCAGCATTTTATGACTAGACATGGTGACAGCACACTCAAGTTATATCAACTTATTTTATGCCGCCACCAACGCAGAGGACGAATACAGGACAAGACAATACTCATTTACACTTGAGTTGAGTAAGGAAATTCAATATATTTGCTCAATATACATTACGAAAATGGTATGCATGTTTAGCTGAGTGCCTGTCTATATTGCATGTATTGTATTGCAGGTTCATTTGTTCTGATTGCTCAAGTCTTGTACTTCCTATATCGCGTGTGCGAAACCACAACACGTTACGTCATGGGAAACAACATCTCAGGTAACCGTCACGGGACTGGGGTTTCCATATATGGCCATAGTCAACATGACGTCACTATTTACCCAACCCGTGAATTACATGCTTTTCACATTTCCTCTCCTTTTGTGTTGCAATATCACCAGACATCGAAGGATGAATACACAACTAGAGCAAAACTACTTCATTTTGGTCCGTCGATTAGAGCATAGAGCCATCTAATTATTTTAAAACGACTGCCCAAAACTATCCTCTTTATGTTTGAAAGTACATTTGAACACGTTTTATACGAGTATTGCATACAGGATGCCTTTTCTTTTTCACTGAAGGAAAAAAACTTGTTCTGGTACCACGGACGATTATGTTGAATGCTAGCTTACGTGCCAATGGTCCGTTTCCCAGCAACGCGTATCTGGACTGAATCCGCGTCATGCCTGACATCGCGCAAGTTATGTCAAGTTGGAAAACTAGCTAGTGAACACATCAGTTGTACTATGTAAGAAAAACATATTGTAGGAGTCCAACAATTAAGAAAATTATGGCTTGTATACTTACAGACATCCAATAAAATTCAAACGGTATTGCTCTGCTATGTCAAGAATGTTCGCGACTGTAACCCATGCGAGAGGGATTAATGGGTTTGGTTACCTGTAGCTGTGTACTCTGTATAGAATATAAAGGACAGTTTGCTGACTTGCCAGCGTTGACCCTCACCTGTTCCTATCAAATGTTTACCGTCCCGCCATACCGACACAAGGACAGAACCTGTTTTGGCGCCTCTGGCAAGGGGTCTAGTCCTAATCCACGTTAATTGTCGACGTACAACAGAGAGGCAAACTCTGCACTATAACAACAACACTGAGTCCGGGTTTAAATCTGTCACGCGCTACAGCACTCACAAATGCCAAAACGCACGTACATTTCGAGCACTTGTTCATGGCGTATACGTTTGCATGCAGTGGCTTTGGGTTTTAATGTCGCTTGGCTAACAAGACCTTGAGACTGTTTACAACTTGAGTTATTGCCGCGAGAAACGACATTTTACGATTTTACGACATCCATGACCGTATCCTAACGTTTTTACTCACCTCTTACTTCTTGGTGTCCACGGAAAGCAAAATACAGTCCGATTAGTACGAAAACCAAACTGACGGCGCAGCCGAGAGCGACTTTTACGCGGTTGCTGTTACATGATTCAAACATAGTACTAGCAGCTTCTTCTGTAAAAACTAAACACGACGAAGTTGGTGAAGTTGACAGACCGGTCCTTTATACAGACACCGTAGGCAAATATGAAATCACGCCTGTCAGACGACAGACGACTGAGATTTGGGCGATGCCACTTTGTTGAGAAATCAAAGTAAGATTGAGATTGAGGTTGCGTAATTCCTCGTGTTAAATAGAGAGAGTGATTGTATACAATGCTTATCGATTCCATGTTTGACAGGGAAAAAATAATAACGATTTGTCCTTTTGATCTTCCATGGACACATATGTATACCTGTCACCCCTAATGAATGAAATGAAACGGTCCACTCAGGTGTTACGTACGCCCGTGCCTCCCCCTCGTAGGTGGCTATTTTCCTCTTTTGCGGAAGTGATTGCGCCAGATTTTACCGAAACAGAAAGGAAGTAATTACGGCCAACTACTCATCACCACATGACGTCTGTAACTTCAGAAATCCCCGAGTCAGAATATTTCCATCCGTTTTTAACGTTATATATGTTAAATATATGATACAAATATACGTAGTTTAACGTTTACCAACTACCTGTTTTGGTACACACTGGCCCTCAATGAATATCCCCTCTCCACTCAGAGCCTTTAAACATGTAGGTCTACTTCTTGACGTTAACGTTATCAACTACCTGTTTGGTACGCACTAGCCTATAATGCCCCCTCCCCACTCAGAGTTCTACTTCTTGACGTCTACTAGTATTTGGCGCCAACTATATCAGATTTCTTCCTTCGTGCTTTGTCCGTGTACTTTAGAATGATGTTGTAACTTGTACAGGTAAAGAAATGTGCGGGGATTCAAGTCAAAACATGACAAGGGGTGTGTTAGGGTTAACTAATGACAGTCTAAGAAATGTTAATGCTATGCTGCATATGTGGTAACAGTTGGATAATATCGGGGTAGAAAAATGTTTCTGCCACCAAACATCCACATTTGGTACAGATAAATACACCGATTTAACGCCTATGTTTTTGACACCAGTAATATTAGTCGCCCTGTGGCTATCACTATGCTTCAAGGATCTTTTTAAACAGTAAGCCACCTTTTTTTCATTCTTCATTCTAACGAGGATACACCATTGAGGTAGTAGCAGAAAAATATTTGTTGACGGACCTTAGTAAGTGTGGAAGTGCATTTGCAATTGGTGCTCTAGTACCGAAGTTAACGTTGCGCCACCTACCTTTCCATGACTGATTTGCAATCCTGAAAAGCCCCAAGAAGACCACAACAAAGTTCACAGTCCCATGTTTCATGACTCGAACTTCATGTATCATATACAAGCTATAGTATATAGGGGACAACGCGAGAGACATTTGTAAAATGTTCCTGCACACAATGCAGTCTGCTCGGTCCCTAGATTAAGGTCGTAGTAGTAGTGTAACCGGTTTCACCCTTTTTGTAGGCAGACTGCCACGCCTATTTCATGACCAGCCGTGTGCCCGTATCTCTTCAAGCACTCCAAGTTGTTGTACTCTAAAGCCTAGGCCTGCACGCAAACACTGCTTTACTCTAAACACTTGTCTTTCCCCTCTTGTTTCCTCTATTTTATGACTTGAAGTTTTAAAAATTTTGTCGGACGGCCATATGTTCTTATTCGTATACTGCGCAATTACCTCATGAAATTCTCAGCACAAAATATTATGTGAAAAAATACTGACAATATTCCAACTCACAGTATTCCTAGAACTACACTAGTACGCGTGGCAGTTTTCTCCCCGACCTTTACAGAAATTTGATAGAGTAACCGTTTTTACCATAAGATTAATTGCCTTGCAATGAATTATATATAGATACATTCTTAACACCCTGTCGCGAACACATAGCACAAGAAAAGGACCGTGCGTATAATATTAATATAAATGTTTCATCATTAATCTCTGCACAACATCACGCAGTTTTCTTATCTATAAATGTACAACAAATACAATGTGTCCTACGTATATATCACTGAAGGCAAATCATACTCGTATATATACACAGTGCCTTCGCTAACTGGCATAAGAGAAAATCTATAGCTATGATACATTAAAGCCTGAACTTGAAGACATACCATTTGCTTCCACCACTACGCCGATTACCACCAACAAAGCACGAAGAAAATGTTCCATATTGGTGGAATGCACCAACTTTTGAAACGTACGCGTGAAATGTTTAGGCTATGGTGTACACAACTTATATAAACCTTTTTATTTGTACAAGGTGGGAAAATGTGCAAAGCCATACATACGTACACATATATTTGTTCCGGCTACTTCTGCGAAGCGATATCAACTTCTTTGAAATAAAAAAAGTTGAACGCATGGTAAAATATTATTGACGAAATTATGGATGAACTGCAAGTGCTTTGATGCACTATGCTTATACAAGTTATTGCATCGTTATTATTTTTTCACTGGCCGCATATGGCTGAAAGAAAATCTAATATAGTGTCATGCCATACTCTTTTCTCGTCAGTCTTTTCTCCGAAATGTTCTAATAATTTTCCTGGAAAGTTCGTTTCGCACAATAAGATAAACTTTCTTTGTTGAACCAGGTTGAACCTCAGGTGTCACTAGCTATAGCTGTTGATTTACGTGCGGTTGGTCACAAGTTTGCTGGGAACATGGCAGGTGCCAATAGTCATGACCTCGTTATTCGCCGTAGAAACGTCCGTTTCCTTATTTGTTCGCTGAGACATTACACAAAACAGGTGGCAAACAATGAATAAATGACCTTTATTGTACGTTTATGCAATGTGTTGAACGTCCTTGGTTTATGCTCTTAAGTGAAGCTAAGTGCAGGCCATGAATAAACAGGGAAAAAGAATACAGCAATGCATACTAATGTGATCTACAATATAAACTAAAATGCGATAACAATATACCGTAATATTTAAAGCAACATTCCGTAATGCCCCTTTTTACTGGGCTTGTTTAAATTTTGGCAATCGCAGTGCTGATTTTTTTTTTTTCTGAATGAAGAAGACCTGCTCAAGTCGTGCAACAGACATTCAGGCGTATAACGTCCTTGATTACACCTACTAGTATAGGTTGCCCCATGTGTGCATATGTGAGCATATTCGTCACAGTATTTAAACGTTACACGATAGTTTCTCTGTGGGCGCTCGCTGTCAAGTCTCAACTCCGTTCAGTCAGAGTTGACCATTGGAGGACGGAGGGTGTTGAGAAAGCAGTCTGAGTCGGGGCCACCTTCATTTTGAATTTCGAGCTTACCGCGAAGGGAAGAAAAGCGAATCGGGATTTAGAATAAACATTGGAATTGTAACAACAGGGAAGTATGAACAACTTGTCATACAGTGATCTGTAACGAAATGCCCATATGGGTCAAATATGCATACCCCACCACACATGGTCCCTCCAGTCCCTCTCACCATGGAGGTAAAAGAGCTCTCTTTTACTTCCATGCTCTCACTTCAAGGTCATCAAGTTCTGTGAGGTGGTCAAGTGAATCCTTACGTCACATATTGACAAACTCAAGAAGATGAAGAAGTGAAATATGCATTTAAATAGACTGGTCAGGCCTGTCTCGACTTCTGGGTGCATCTTGTAGGGACTGTACGATATTTACCGGGGGGGGGAGGGCTGGTGCAAAATGGTCCGGTAAAAATTTTTTCCATGGCCCTCCCCCGGCTCAAAATTTTTTCAATGGCCCTCCCCCCGGCTCAAAATTTTTTTCAATGGCCCTCCCCCCAGCCCAAAAAATTTTTCGGTGGCCCTCCCCCCCATTTTTCAAGTCCATGTCTCTTTCTCCCTGCGTAAATTCCCGAATGAAGTTACACAATGCAGTATGGAGTTATATGCCGACGACACAACCCCATCCGCTTCTGGCCCAAATGCTTCCATTGTACAAAACAAACTGCAGTCCGAACTCACAAATATACACAATTGGATTAAAGAGAACAAACTCATACTGAATGTAGATAAAACTAAATCTATCATCTTTGGTAGTCGCCACAAGCTAAAGCACAACCCCAGCATACAGCTTTCATTGGATGGCAAATTGATAGAGCAGGTAACTCAGGCAAAATTACTTGGTTTCCTAATGGACCAGCACTTGACTTGGACCCCACACATTGATAAAGTGTTAAAACAAGATGACTGGTGCCCTTGCAGTACTAAGGAGATCTAGAAATCTCCTTTCTGAAGGACCTTTAAAGACTGTAACTCAAACATTAGTCTTATCTCACATGGATTATTGTTCTTGCTTGTTGTCCACTGGCCTACAAACATCCTTAAACAAACTACAGACCTTGCAGAATAGGGCTGCCAGACTTGTTTTAAATGCACACTACACAG